TGTAGATTCTAATTCACTAAGTCAGGGATGGAGCCTGAGATTCAACTCTAACTATCTTTAGGTGGTATTGATGCTGGGGATAATACTTTGAGTAGCAAGGACTTAGAAAAACATACCCTTCCGTTGGTTTCCCTGTTTCCCTGTTTCCCTGTCCCAGTGCCTCAGATCCTCTTAGAATCACTTCTCAAAACAAACTGTGTGCATACAAACCTGTTTCTCAGGCTCAGTTATTAGGCGGACCCAGTCTAAGACAAGCAGTAGTGACCTAGAAATTCTCTTTCTAGGAACTATCCTATAGATATATTTACAGTATATGAAATAATGTCATCAACAATGTTATTACATTACAAAAGTAGCAAAAAAAAATGGGAACAACGTAACTGTCTACAACAGGACTGGTGGAAGGGCTCAGAGCATATCCATACTATGGCGTGTTACACAGTTGTTAAAACAATAACAAGGTTCCTTATATTCTTTTTTTTAAATTAATTATTGTTCAAGTACAGTTTTCTGTATTTTTACTCCCATCCCAGTCCACCCTCCCCAGTGCTCCCCACCTCCCTCCCATTTCCACTCCCCCCTTAGTTGTTGTCCATATGTCCTTTATACTAGTTCCTGTAAATCCTTCCCCTTTTTCCCCTGAAATTCCCTCCTCTCTCCCCTCTGGGCACTGTCCCCCTGTTCTCTATTTCAGTGTCTTTGTTTTTATTTTGCTTGCTTGCTTGTTTTGTTGTTTAGCTTCCTGTTAAAGGTGAGATCATATGGTATTTGTCTTTCACCACCTGGCTTATTTCACTCAGCATAATGCTTTCCAGTTCCATCCATGCTGTTGCAAAGGGTAGGAGCTCCTTCTTTCTCTCTGCTGCATAGAATTCCATTGTGTATATGTACCATAATTTTTTGATCCATTCATTTACTGACGGGCACCTAGGTTGCTTCCAGCTCTTGGCTATTTAATATTCGACAAAGGGGGCAGCAACATAAAATGGACTAATAATAGCCTCTTCAACAAATGGTGTTGGGAGAACCGGACAGCTATGTGCAAAAAAATGAAACTCGAGCACCAACTTAAAACGCCATACACCAAAATAAATTCAAAGTGGATAAAAGACTTAAATATAAGCCATGACACCATTAAAGTCCTAGAGAAGAACATTGGCAAGAAAATCTCATATTTCACACAGCAACTTTTTTACTGATATGTCCCCTAGAGCAAAAGACATAAAAGAAAGAATAAGCAAATGGGATCTCATCAAAATTAAAAACTTTTGCACAGCTAAAGAAAACAGTATTAAAATAAAAAGAGATCCAACTGTATGGGAAAACATATTTGCCAATGATACCTCAGACAAGGGTTTAATCTCCAAAATATACAAAGAATTTACACGACTTTACTCTAAGAAGACAAGCAACCCAATTAAAAAGTGGGCAAAGGACTTGAACAGACATTTCTCTAAGAAGGACATACAGAAGATCCAGGGACACATGAAAAGATGCTCAATATCACTAGCTATCAGAGAGATGCAAATTAAAACCACAATGAGATATCACTTTACACCGGTCTGAATGGCCATCATAAACAAAGCAACAAACAACAAGTGTTGGAGAGGTTGTGGAGAAGAGGGGACCCTAATCCATTGTTGATGGGATTGCAGACTGGTACAACCACTGTGGAAAACAGTATGGAATTTTCTAAAAAAACTAAAAATGGACCTGTCTTTTGATTCAGCAATTCCACTGCTGGGATTATATCCTAAGAACCCTAAAACACCAATCCAAAAGAACCTATGCACCCCAATGTTCATAGGTTCCTTATATTCTGATAAGAAAAATATTCCAGATGTGTGTGAAGTATAAAATGAAAGGTACAGAGTACTGTGCATATAGATGCCTCTATTTGAGTAAAATAAGGCAAGAATTGTATCTATTTCTGTTTGTATGTACCTAACTCTGGAAAGAAATAGAAAATAAATAATATTGATTGGAACAAGGAAAAATGGGTAGCTTGGGAGAGGAAGAAGAGGAAGACTTCTTGGTAATGCCTGGTATATATATTTTGAAGTTTTACTTATGTGTTCTGTTAACTATTAAAACTTTATGTGTTTGGTCTAGAAGTGTATTACATTCTCTTTCTTCTTTGAACCTCAGGTTACTCTGACATTTAATGTTGTTATAGATTCATACCAGTATAGAATAAGATTACATACCCTCTATGTTATCACTTATGTTTATATTTTAGTTTTTCAATAGATTACAAGCTAAATTATGACAACTATACTTTATATCTGTATTTTGAAAAAGATACTACTATCAGAGCACATAACATACGTATAAAACATTTTGTAGATACCTGCAAAGTTTATTTGAATAGCCTACATTTGGTACTATTACCAGGAAAAGACCTATAGTAGATCAAATTGGGATTATTGCCCAAAACTCTTAGTAATTGCAGTTACTCAGGAAGTCACCAGATGAGAAAAGGATGATTGTGGGGGCAACGTTGCTCTCAAGTCCCCCCATCTGCCATGGATGAAAGTGAAACTACCAAGACATGATCTGCTTGGTGAGGACAGGTGGTCAGTCTCTCAGAGGAGAAGGACCAAGAGCCCCTTCCTCAACGGCTTTTATTGGGTTGTAATACACAGGAATACAAGCGGCAAGGATCAAACAGTAGATAACATTTCAAAGAAATCTGAGAGCTTAGTCTAAGTCAGTGTCTGTCAGGTAAGAGGATTGAATAAACTTTGGGGGCATACTCATTTCCTGCTCAGACCCTTATCATATGAATGAAAGCACTCTTAGCAAAGCACGCTTCACAGGACTTTAGGAATTCTTTCTTAGGCCCAATCACCCCAGATCCTGCTCTAGCCAGCAAGGGGCTCCACCGCCTTCCCCATCATAGGTTTTTAGGCTTAAATGGATTAGAGCCAGGAAGCGCTTCTCCCCTACGGAAATGGGGGCTCTGGCTGTGTCAGAATAGCCAGGGGGCAAAGGTCCATCTTTGTTGCAGCCTTCCAAGTCCTTCCATGATGGCCTCCCAAGTGATCATGTCTGGCTTAGGTTGCCCCCGCTCTCAGGGGTCTTACCCATCTTTGACTAACTGACCAGGCTTTGGGGGCAGGGGATGAAGCAGAAGCAGTGTTGCTGCCAGAGACAAGCTTTGTCTCCTTAGTGGTTCGCATTCCAGAGGTCGCTCACTCAGCCTTAGCCATGGGGGTGGGGGGGAGGTACAACTGAAGCCAGGCAGAGTGGTTCCCAGCAGATGATGGTACTAAAGTGATTTTAAAAGACTTGAATTAGCAAAGTATGTTTTTAACTGTAATAAATAAAGCAGGGGAAGTATATGTTTTTAAAGAATTCTTGATAAATGGTTAAATTTTCTAAAATCTTGATGTTTAAGAATTAAACTTAATTTAGCTTAGGAATTCACTTACACACCTGAAGTCTCTGGTAATGCCAAGGGATCAACAAATATCTGAGTGTCTGCTATGACGCACTTCTATACTAGGCTCAGGGGATACAAGGGTGAGCCAAAACAGATATTTTCACACTCAGTAAACATACAGTCTAATGAGAGAGATGGATAGTAATCAAACAGTTATGTTAATTATTGAACAATTGAAAATGAACTAAGTGATCCCAAGTAGAGACAGATTCTCTGATGGCGTATGTGAAGGGGACTTGATGTAGGTATGGGAATCAAGAAAAAGAATAGTGCTTGAATTGAGATCTGAAAGCTACCGAGGGTGTGCGAAGTTTACATCAGACAGCCTATGTTAAGGATTTCTGGCTGTTGTTTCCAGATTTATCAGTTATCTATTGCTGAGTAACAAACTACCTCAAAACTAAGTGGCTTAAAACTACAGTTCATTTCTCACAATTCTATGGTTTGACTGGGTGATTCTTTTGCTGATCTTGTCTGAGCTCCGTCCTGCACCTGCTTTCAACTGATAACTAAGTAGGAGGCTGGGCCTCCTGCTCCACATGGTCTCTTTTATGAAGCTTCTCTATGGCCTCATGGTCCCAGAAGATCCAGGGGGGTAAAGGCAGAGCTGCAGTGCTTTTGAGGCATAGGCTGTGGAACTTGCACAACACTGCTATTTGTGTGAGCATGTGAAAAGGCCAGTCTGGACACAAGGGATGAGGAATTAGATTTCACCTCTTGATGTATGGAGGTACAACAAAATTGTGGCTATGTTTTTTCATCTACTGCAATCTCTGTCGGGTAATTATTCAATAATAATTATTTGCAAGTATTGTTTTAAGAACTAGAAATCAATCATGAACACAGACAACAATGTGGTGATGGGGTAGAGGTAGAAGAAGGTGGGGAATATAAATTGTAATGGAAAAACAATAAATAATAAAGTAATTACTGATAAAAACAACTAGAATCAGACATGAATAAGATATAGTAATTTATTGGTTATTATTTTTCTTTTCCTTGAAGCCTATGATATTTGCATATTTGTCATTCTGTTTTCCATAGAGATTAATATTTGTGAGTCATCATTAAATGAATAAAACATAAAATGAGGGAGCTTATTACCTAATTAGAGAGGAGGAAAAAAGTCACTGAAGACTAGAAGTAATTTTTAGCCTTTCTAAATTTGTAGTAACATATTTTGCAGTCATAAAAGAATTAAGGCTATGCTGGTGTAGCCATGCAATTATGAATGATGTCTATAGGGACAAAAATTAATACAGTAGTGAAAAATCTCAGGAAAGTTGAGTTTTTCTTTGTAGTTATAACTTTGCTTTCAGGTTTGTTTTAGCTACCCTTTAAAGGTCATTTCTAACAAGCTCAAAATTTGCCCTTTCCGGTAATTTTGAATGAATGAATAAATATTACATGTAAAACTAATGATAAAGATATTACCTGTCTGAAATTTTGGTTTTTTGCAGGAAGCATTGCAAGAAAACAAAAACTATTTGATTTGCTTGGAAAATTACTTTATGAGCAGTAATCTAACTTTTTTCAATGTTTTTTAAATTATAAGAATGATAAGAATGCTGCATTTCTTCTGATGGAAAGTGACAGGCTAATCATCAGTTTACCCAGAGTGAAGTGGACAGAAACAGCACTGACTATGGCATCTCAGCTACAAGAAGAATGTATTGCATTTATTATAGAAAACTTCCCGAAGATCGTTCAAAGTGAAAATTTTGCTCTTTTTTTACAGGTACTATGTTGAAAATGACATTCTATATTTAGTTCCATCTTTGTGTTCTGATTATAATTATGCAAGAGTTTTTAAATGCAGGTTGTCTTTGATTAAATTAGTATGGCTTAAATAAATTCCATAGCAGATGGCAGGTTTGCATAGGATTTAGAGCAGTGATGGACAGGATTTTTGGCTCACAAGATAATGAAGGCAGGAGGGGACATGTTTGAGTACCCTGGCAAGACCCAGTGTAACTCTGGCCAACTCTAGCTCTCTATCAGCATAAGTCATATTTTAGAAACCAAAGTCAGAAAGATTTGTTTTGGTTGCTAATACAATTATCGTCCATGCAAAATTCTCTGTTTTCCTGGGGATCCACTTTTTCTAAATTTAGTAATTAACAAAGAACTAACATTACTTCTAAGCTCTTTAGGATGATTGGGCTTTTCACAACAGTTTGTGTGTATGCATGTATGCAGATTTTTTAACAAAGGAAAAGGATTATAACTATTATAATAATTACTATATTATTATTAACAGAGGAAATAAAATTTCTGGTTGATTTCATATAGCCAGTTATGATGAACATTCTGTTCTTATGCCAGAGTTTCATGCTTGTTAACAAATTTTACATGTATTCCTATTAAATATCAATTTCTGTGTTTTATAGTCACAAGCAATGAGCAGCACAGCTGAACTGTTGGACAAAATTTTAAAAGCAATTGAAGAAAAGATTACCACTGAGAATAGCTGCTCTCTTCTTATGGCTCTGGACATGTTACTGAACTCTGACAGTACAAAAGAAATGGTACTGAATGTAATATAGTTCATTAAAACATTTGAATTATTTTAAAGATTTATAAATATATGCACATTTTAAATGTTCCGTGGTTCATTGAAACTAGGTAATGGAAACCTAAGGGTTGGTTATAGTCTACTTTTGTGTATATTTGGATTTATTTTATAATAGACATTTTTAATTTTTATTTACCTCCAAGTGAGCATATTATGAAAGTTTAGAATTTGGCAATTTTATTGGTTAGTTCTGAACATAGTTTGGTACTTAACAGTATTAATTGGCATAGTGTAACTCTAGTATTTCTCCCTGATCACTACATTAAACTTCCTAAATATAAAACAATTTAAAATAATTTTTTAGAAATTTTAATCACTAGTATCTTTTATTCTATAATATATTCTTAATTCCTTTTTTGTCTAAAATAATCACATTTAAAGTAGGATTGACAGAGGAAAAGCAAAATTAAAATATTACTTATTTTCAAATGCAGTTAATAATGGTAATTACTAAACTAATTGTAACTGACATTTTGTGTTCAACGATAATTATTTAAAATTTTTCATCATATTTATTACAATTGCATAGAGTATTTGACCTTGTAATGTCATAGTGAATTTGAAACGGCTGTGTAAGGTATTCATGTAAAGGCATTGGTGGTTTAAAATAATGTTTGGTTGAAAGAATAAGGTTTAGCTTCATGTTCACTGTAAAATTCTGTTGTGAAGAGTAAGCCTTCATAAATAACATGTACCTGACAATCTTAAAAATCTAAGTGATGACATCATTGATCTAGCTTAAGAATAAGTAGATTCGGAAAGGAATAATGACTGGTTGCTATGACAATGTGGCTCTCACCAGCTGCTGATTTGTTGCTTGAACGCAGGGTTTTACGTGCAAGATCCAGGCTCTGCGTGATAAGCTGTGGATCTTCCTGGTTCAGTCTTTCTATGCTGTTCGTCACACAGAAAGCTGGAAGCTGATGAGTACAGATCATCAACAGAAAATCCAAGCAGGTATGTTGTTAGCTCTGAGATTTTTTTATTATATTACAATCTTTGTAAGAAGGGATATTTTGAAAGGATTCTAATAAGTGGTAGGATTAATGTTTGTTTGCTTCTGTTTAATAATAGCCTCCTGATTGAAACTACTGATAGTATATTTAGGTAGTTTTAAAAAATCATGCTTTTTTGCTGTTCACAGAAAATGAAACTCATTTCATATATATATATATAATTTTTTTTATCTTACTTTATATTAGCAGTAATGTTCCAGCAAAATTTGCTTAAAAGCATTCTTGTTTTACTTAGATTAGAAGTGTAGGAAAATATAATCCATATAAAACAGATCACCAAACACACTTTCTCTCCCTTTTAAAATGTATTTTTCCATAAAGCTTTTCCATCTTTTGCATATGATACTGTTTCTTGTGGGTTTTGCCTACATTAGATGGCTTAATTTCACAATTGATCGGTTCAGTGATACTGTGTGTGCTATTGCAGGGTGTCCCTCAGGAGCCACACAGTGGTCTCTGACATCTAATAGGTACCATTTGAAACATTAGCATTAAACAAAAGGTGTATATTGCTCAAAATGTGTATTTGTTTCAAAAACATTAAAGTAAAATGTTGAGGGTATGGAACTAAAAATGGCTTCATGACTATTTTTGGCTTAAAGCAGGTGTCTTAGAAAAAATATTGGCAGATTGAGCAAGTGTACTTTTAAACATTTTAAGTTAAGAGACTAGAGACTATATTTTATGAAGCAGATATTTTTGTATCATAAAACATGGAAGCCATATGTGGTACAATACATTCTCGATAGTTCATAGATATGTTAAATTCTTTAATGGTTTAGTCAGAATATGATTTGCTCTGTCTCGTGTTATCAGTATAACACAACAGTGTACCTAAATGTGATCTTGAGAACACTTTTCAAAGAAATTCCCCCCAAAAAATAAATAAATAAAACAAAATCATGAAATAACGAAAATCACAAAGTCTTTAGAAATTAGAAATTTTTTCCTTGTGACTCTTTCTATACTGATTTTTTATGACAATTTACTATGAAATCTGTACAATGTGAAGAAAAAGATTGACATTCCATGAACAGATGTCATTCAACTCTCTTCCAATTGGCAGTAAACTTTATTTTCTTCATTTTAGAGGATTTCATAATTAAGTTGAGCTTCAGTGTTCTTTATCTTAATTCTTCAAAGTGCTAATTAAAATGACATGTAAATACATATATATATACACCACATATACACATATCTAAAATGAAATATTGGTAATCCAGCTAACTGTCAATGAGAACTTTTCAATCTATTACATTTACACCAGTATAAAAATAATGTTTCTTAAATCTTAAATGTGTTGAATTATAGTGATTCCTACTTAAGGATGATTATGTACTGAGAAACCCCAGAGAAAGGGGTGATTGTAGTTGTCTTTGTTATATTTCTTTATTCTAGTTTGAGTTACTGACCTTTGGGAGAAATCGTACATTCATTTCTTCCTGTGCATTGTTGTGCTAAGTCATTTGCTAACTATAAATCAGTCCTGACAGTGCCATTTCTAGGATCCTGCTTTATCTTATAGTACAGATTCTATAGAATAGAAATAGTAGAAGATGCATAGTAGAGTTACAGATAATTTAATGTATTTTTCTACAGTTGCTTTATAAAAAAATTTTGGAAATTATATGTATTTCTTCAAAGTATATTTTAGAGCCCCATAACCTTCAAAAGGCAAAAATGCATTAGCTAAACTGTATTTATAGCTCTTATACCATTATTCCTATATATTTTCCTGACGTCATTCAAATTCTTATTTGAAGAATGTAAACATGAGTTCTCTAATAATTGCCACTTGACCTAATCTATAAAGTGAATGTTTATGTAATTCTAAAAAAAATATGAGTTTGAGAATTGTTTCTTGTTTTATTTTCAACAGAACCTTATGTTTTTTTCTTTCTTCCTTCCTCATGATGTAACAGCAAACCAGATAATATTTATAGTTAATTTCAACAATATTTTTACAACTCAGGATAAACATTTTTCTAGTTTTTAATAGTTTATAAAATACTACATTTGCCACAATCTGTAATTTTTTGAAATTTGGAATACTAAGTGAAACCAGTTATTTCTAAAATTTTACACCTTCAGAAAAGTTTTGTTTCTATAAATGTATAAATCTTCTCTGTGATATTTTATAGTTCCCATTTATTAATTTTAATAACAATTCATAGGAATCAGAAAATAAGAATGGAAGTGTGGTTCTTTAAAAAATAAATGTTTTACTATAGTAGGGAATTATCTGTGTGTTAGATTGGTTTTAGCTATTTTAAAGTTATTTTCTACTGAGACATAACCTTTTTCTACTCATATATTATTTTCCCTCTAATTCTGTGTTAATAGCACTGCCTCCTATAAATATATATTGCTGTTTCTTTTTACAGCTGCATTTGACAAAGGTGATAGTCGAAGACTTGGTAAAAAGCCTATATTCAGTAGCTCTCAGGTAAACTTTTAAAATTTTACAGGTCCAAAGGAAAAAGAATAGCAAATAATTTAAATTTCATTATTTTATATTTCAAAATAATTTTTAAAATTTATTCTTACATTAATTAAAGCTATTTCTTAATAGAAATAATTTTGAGTCTTTTTTTAATCAAGCGAACATTTCATAAATTTTTAAATGATGTGAATTTTTGGTATCCAGCTGGCATAGAAAGTGTAATATTCTCCACCTTTTTTATTTCCTTGAAAACCTTTTTGGCAACGAACATACTGGAGCTATTCCAGTAAATCAGAAACTGTCTAGAATTCTATACCTAATTCAAGTCTGTTTTTCTAATTAACCTATTTCTTATTAGAGAAAAATGTTGGTTGTCCCAGTTTTCTCTATACTAAGATTTTAATTCATGTGGTAAATATTTCGTGTGAAAAAGTCAATTAGTACCAAGAGTACAGCTGTGCTTTACTTTAAAAGTTTATTTGTATACTTACATGAAGTATCTAAAGTAGTCCAACCCTTAGAAACAGAGGGTAGAATGGTGATTGCCATCAGCTACAGGGACAAGGAAAAGAATTGCTTTTCATTGGATATAGTTTTAGTTTTGCAAGATGAAAAAGCCCTAGAGCTCTGTTGCACAACAAGGAGTGTATAGTTAACATTACTGTACTACCCACTTAACAGTGGTTAAGATTGTAAACTTTGTTATTTGTTTTTTATCACACACATAAATTACTTGGTGTATTTATTATGATGTGAAATACTTTTTTCTCCAAAAATGTTATTGATGGTTAGAGTTCTAAGCTAGCTACCTTAAAGATTACCACTTAATAGGATATTTGAAGTACAAAATTATACTAACCTAGTATGTGCAATACAGAGATATACAATGAAAGCTTCAGTTTTGAATACAAAGAACATACTACCTGCCCTTGCAGAGTGGGATAGGGAATCTTTTCTTCCTCATCAGCCAGTAAATACAGAACTCACACAACTCTAAGCTACAACTAAGAGCTCTCATAGCTTGAGGCAGAGGTCAAGTTTCAAATGTCTTCTGTGAAAAACTGTGGGATGCTGAAGTTTTTTGCCAGTAAACTTCCTAAGACCGTTTCCCAAAGTGCGTGCTCCCTCATATGTTCTACCTAAGAACGTGTAGCATCAACTGACTTTGAGAATTACTGCACACTGTAGCTCCTGTAAGAGATTGATGATGTACACTAACACCTTAAAAGCTCTGAGAAACACTGTAGTAAAGACCACTGTTGGATTCTGTTTTATTCAAAATTTCACCAACCGTCATCACAGAACAGCACTAGACTCCCCATTGGCCCCTTTTAGGCATATTGTACAGTTACACTGAACATATTCTACAAAGTACACTTTAGCATATTTTTTCTATATACCCTGTTATCTCCTCTGGGGTTTTTTTAAGGCCCCAAGACTTAGTCTACCTGCCTTCCTTTCCCCTGTTCTACCAACTCCATCAACCAGGCCTTTCCTCCTTCCTTGCCTTACAACAAAATGATCAGTCTTGTTGTTGGTCCTAATTCCTCTGTCTTTCAGGTTGTCCAAGGGTTTATACTCTTAACCACTAGGAAAAAAAACAGGGTAACATATTTCCCTCAGAAAGGCAGTGATATTCCAAAATGGGTGTTGGACATAGAATCAGAAGTGTTCAACCTTTGAGTTCACAATTATTATGTGTGTCATGTGTGAGTCCTAGTATGCTTATCTATAAAATGGGATGATACAACCTAGCAGTATTATTGTGAAATTGAAATGAAATAATTTATGTACAGTTATCTGATACATAGTAAGTGCTCAATAAGTATGGAACAAATAAATATGTTTTCCAAAAAAGGTGAGATCTTTTGGAGGTAGGAGAAAGTTAATAAGGCCGAGAAAAAAGTTTTAAAAGATTGCTAGTACCCATATGTGATGTCTGGGATTTGCTTTAAAATAAAATGGGGGTAGTTATATATTAAACAAAATTGTCCCAGAGTTGATCATTGTTAAAGCTGGGTAATAGGTACATAGGGATTCATTATAATGTTCTGCCTTCTTTTGATTGTTTAAAATTTTTTTATATCAAAAAGCTAAAAGTCAAAACAAGAGGGAATAGTACTAGAACCTAAAGGGTGTCCAAGAGGATTGCTTAAGAGGATTACCCACTTGGTCTTCATTTGTCAATAGCATATGGTAACCATTATAATTTATCCATTTGCATATAAGTAATATAGGTAAATTTTGCAGAGCTAAATCAGAGGATTCCTAGAAATGCATATACATCAAATCATCATCATTTTGTAATATGTTAATGTAAAATTTCTAAAAGACTGTAATACAGATCTTGCCCATAACATGATGCTTTAAAATAGATGGTATGGTAGGATAAATTAAGTAGGATTGGTTTTATAGGTGGGAAGAGGTCCACCTGGTTTTAGGTACTAAAAATAAAGAATAAAATAAAGAATTTTTTAAATAAAAATATTTTTGAGCTAAGATTTATTAAAAAACCAAAAATTGATAGTTAAGCCTATTTATACTTTATAAATATTACACAGAATTCTAGAAATTGCACTTAATAGTACCAGTCTCTACCCTCTGGATAAAAGTCCTACTAATTAAAACAATTTTTTTGTTCCCTTTCATATCAAAGTTGGTTCTAAACAAAATGATGAAATAGGTGCATTTGTCTCAGTGCCTTTCCATTTTCCCCTTTCTACCTATTTCACCTATTTTTAGGAGCCACCCCTTTCCCTCCACTTCCTCCAGACAACCAACACTCTATTACTATCTTTTTTCTGTATTACAATCTTGTTTCTTTTAAAAATCAGACTTTTCAGATGTGATATGTTTCATAGAATTTTTTTTGTTATTGTTTTAAATGAGGACTCTAAGAAAATTCTTACCACAGAGGATAAAAGTTCTGGCATTTGGGTTAAAGAGAGAATTTTTGGTGAATATCTTAATAAAGTCTCTCAAATTATACCATATAGATGACTACCTACTTAAAGCAGTAAATCATGGGGTCAGGTCCTAGTTCCATCCCTGTCAGCATGTGATCATGGGTAAATCACATACTTGCTTTAATCCTCAGTTCCTTGGCTAAGAAATAGAGATAGCAACAGGAGCTATCTCACAGTACTGTTGTGAGGATTAAGTGAGATAATATATGAAAAGGGTTTTAGCACAGAACCTGGGATTGGAGCCTTAAAAGTACTGGATATTGTTATCATTCTCTCAAGGCATTTGGACCCCATTAGGTATTAATTCCCTATCATAACTTCATAAAGTGATACATCTTTTAAAATAGTATAGACCTTAAATATTTTGTGCTGTATTTTAGATTTGATTAAGGTAGTGTGATCAAAGACACAGTGAAAGTATTGCTCAAAATGACCAAAGATAATTCAAGTTTTGATTGGACCTAAATTATAATACAAAAGTTGCTGGGATTCTTTTTCTTTGAAAAACTGGCTTATTAAAATGTAAAGTATTTGTATGTCAAAGACTTCAGTCAAGTTACAAGGTACTTTTTTCTTCTTTGTAGCAAAGGAGACAAGTTTCTGACTCTGGTGTTATAAAAAACAAATCTTTGAGAGAAAATAACAAGGAAAAGTGTTGGAGTTGTCCCTCTACTAATCAAAAGATGAAATCCGATGGATTAGGAGCATCTGGACATTCATCAAGTACTAATAGAAATACTATAAATAAAACTTTGAAGCATGATGACTTAAAAGAGAAGGATGATACAAAAACAGCATCTAAAATTACAAAAGAATTAAAATCTGGGGGAAAAAATGTTTCTGGAAAGCCCAAAGCAATAATAAAACCCAAAACAGAAAACAATGATAATGCAAAGTCAGCAAACATGTCATCTAGACAAGTTGTGGAAAGATCGGCAACAGCAGCAGCACATGGACACAAAAACACATTAAATGGGAAGGGAGTGAGAAATCAAGAAGGACAAGTTACAGGTGCCAGACCCAAGGTACTCACTGGAAACTTAAATGTGCAAGCCAGAGCAAAGCCTTTGAAGACAGGAAAATATTCTCCATACCTTGGCATTGCAGAATGCTCCAGCAGGTCTACAAATTCAAGTATGGAATTACTGGTTTCCACCGAAAGTCTGGATGAGCCAAAAGAAAATGGATCAACAGAAGAGAAGCCATCTGGTCATAAACTGTCCTTTTGTGAATCTCCAGAACAGACAGTGAAAAACAGTGTAGAAAGTATCAAAATTTCTACTGTAGGTGGGTTTTAGCACTCTAATCTTTAATACCTCCTGACAGTTAAAAGTTCCTAGAAAAAATAACTTGTTTGATACTTTCAATGCAAAAAAAAAGTATTTACTTGCATGTATTCATGCAAAGAAAACACAGTTCTTCCCATGTTGACATTTAATTTTGTTTACGGTGTCTGATCAATGACATTGTATATAATTGTTACATATTTAGTGTTCTGCCTCTTGACTTACTTTTTCTTAATTTACAGCCGTAAAATCTCAACCTGTTTCAAAAGTTACCAATGGAACTTCCAATAAAAAAAGCACTCATGAACAAGAAACTAACATAAATAATAGGTAAGTCTTCATTATTTCACATATATATTAGCTTTCTCTGAAAGTTAATTATATACTGATGTCTAGCTAAATATTTTTAAATATCTTCTTTTTGTTAGAAAAATTATTTACATAATATTTTAAAACTTTTATTTACTAAAAAGTTAGTATATTTATACAAAATGATTGATGCAAATAATTCACATTTGTCACACTTGATTATACATTGCTTTATCATACTTGATCTACAGTTTTATAACCTTAAAGACATATGGACATATGGTCTTCTTATTTTCAGAAAAGATTTTTTAAATTTCTTTGAGAAAAAAATTATTTTGTGTATGGGTCTTTTAAAAGCTCATGTTTGGGAATTTCAACGTAATATTGAATGCAAATCATTTTTCCTAGTATGCTAAAGAAGGTCGCTAGCAAAGGACATAGTGATCCAGTACAACAGGCAATTTTAAAGAAAAGAGGACATGACAATGTATGCACTACAGCTCAGCAGAGGACAAAGAATGCCCCATCTAATCTTGCTAAAACTCAAGGTAAAGCTGACATAATCCTGGTGTTCCTTCCTTGTTTAAATTCAATAAGCAGAACTCTGATTTGGAACTTGAGCAGCAAATAAGCAATATATAACATGGTTTCACTCATTTTACATTTGTTTCATGCTGTAGAAATGAGATTTTATATTTTTACATTTCAAAAGAAGTGCAATATTTTGGTATTCTGAGGTATTGGTTTGGTTTTTATTGTATTTTGTGAGAGAAATAATTAAGGGAGCCCCTAATATCTGCATTTCTGGTCCTTTTATATATTATGGCCAGGTTTCTTCAAAGTTTCCTTGATAACTAGGAATTCCATCTGCAAAACCAGCACTAAAGGCTTCTTTAAAAAGTAATGGTGCAGTCTAGAAAGCTATAATACATAGGAGGAAGAATTTTTCTCTTTTTTGGTTTTATTTTTAATTTAATTTTTATTTTTTACACTTTTTTATTGTTATTCAAGTACAGTTGTCTCACATTTCCCCCCACCAACCCCCCACCCCAAACATCCCCACCTCCCACACTCCATCCTAACCCCCTTTGGCTTTGTCCATGGGTCCTATAGACCTATTCCTTGATGACCCTTCTCCTTTTTCTTATCCTTTTCCCTCTCCCCTCTGGTTACTGTCAGTTTGTTCTCTATTTGATGTCTCTGGTTATATTTTGCTTGCTTGCTTGTTTGTTTTGTTAATTAGGTTCCACTTATAGGTGAGATCACATGGTATTTGTCTTTCACTGCCTGGCTTATTTCATTTAGCGAAACGCTCTCCAGATCTATCTGTGCTGTCACAAAGGGTAGGGGCTCCTTCTTTCTTTCTGCTGTGTGGTATTTCATTGTGTAAATGTACCACAGTTTTTTGATCCACTCGTTTACTGATAAGTACTAAGGTTGCTTCCAACACTTAGCTATTGTGAGTTTTGCTGCTATGTACGTTGGGGTGCATAGGTCCTTTTAAATTGGTATTTCAGGATTCTTAGGGTATAATCCCAGCACTGGAATTTCCAGGTAAAAAGGCAGTTCCATTTTTAGTTTTCTGAGGAAATTCCTTATTGTTTTCGACAGTGGCTGCACCAGTCTGCATTCCCACCAACAGTGCACCAGGGTTCCCTTTTCTCCACAACCTCACAGGAGGGAGAATATTTCCTCTGGAGTCTGTTCCCTGTTCTAAGAAAGAAAAGAGTGCCAGTCAAATGGCATAATTTGCTAACATAATAACTGATTTTAAAGATTAATTTGTTTTATGCATTAGGAGCAGTTTGTAAAATCCTAAAAACCATGTTGAGTTACCTAGTGAATAATACTGAACGTAAATAAAAAATAAGACAAAGGAAAATTATTCATGCTCTAGTTATAGTTAAAATTAATTATTTCAAAATATTTGGTAATTTGTTTGACAGTGCTCAAAATGTGATCTCTAGGACTTTATCCAATCTATTTGTATACACAAATAGATTCCCCAAATGAATCCTCTTTTCTTTCAGTTACCGGTTTTAGTTTCAGCCCTGGGTCTAAGTTGTTAACCCTAATGAGCTACAATAATAATGACTTGGTTATGAGAAACAAATTGGTTTTCTTCATGGTTGAGGGAAAAAATTGCAGCAGTTTTAATATTTCTATTTTATGTTAATCTCGATCCTCCTTTTCAGCTGTGTGGAATATAGTCTTTTTCCCCCAAAAAAACTTCAAAGGCAAGTCTCTGGCTGCTCTTTGGTATAAGAATATCAGAATTTTCCACCCCTTCATATTTATGCAAATCCAATTCTGGCATGAGGATCAAGTCTCTCTTTACTTGAAGGAGAGAGATCTTATTTTATTAATTTCTTTAAGACTTTGGAATAGTCCATCTTTATTTGTAATAGAAAAAATATTTTTCTTTTTTATTTTATTATGTGACTAACTTCTGTTCTGTAATTGTCCATTTGATTGTAGGTATGTTACCATCCATTGTTTTATTTTATTTCTTCTAAAATAATTTAAAAACAAATATTGAATTTTATTCACAAATTGAAAGGTATATTATACTTTTGAATATTCTTTTCTTAGGATGCCAAGGAGAGTCACCAAATTCAGTAAAATCTTCAAGGCAGTCTGATGGAAATGTGACGAAGTTGAACCACAGTACAACAGAAAAACAAACACCTAAGAGAAAAATTGTCAAGCAAGGGCACACAACTTTGCCTAAAGTTAATGGAAAAATGGTGGCAATACCTAAACACCTAAATCAATCTAAGAAAGGTGAAACTTTAAATAATAAAGATTCAAAACAGAAAATGGTTCTTGGACAGGTCATATTGAAGACTCAGTCTTCTCAAAGACCTTTAAAAAGTGAAACATCTGTTGTCCAAAAAAGTAACAAGAATGGCAGTGTTACTGAACAGAAGCCTGATGAACCTCTAATTAACCTCACTGCGAAAATCATTGGTACAGAAGCATTCCAGTCATTATGCACACCTGGTCTACAAAAGCCATTAAACAATCAAGAAAAAGAGAAATTGGTATTAGAATGCCAAAATATTTCAAATCTGGATAAATCAGTAAAACATGAATTGGAATCAAGACATATTTGTTCAGGAAAAAGTGAAACAAAATTGTCCAGTCACAGAGAAATTGATCGCTGCAACCCAGCTCAACTACACTGTCATACTGACGGAAGTGAAAATGTAGATCCAGAATTTTATAGCACCACTGCCATAAAATCCATGATTTTAAATCCAAATGAAAACCTCTTGAACTCTAATCCAGTTTGTGATTTGGACTCAGCAAATGCAGAGCAAATCCATTCAGCATTAGATAAGGAGATGCACGTAGAGAGAGAAAACATGAACAAAAAATCAAGCACTGAATGTGTGAAAGATGTACCTTGTGTTCCTGAAAGGACAGTGCATAACTTACATACTATTCAAGTTGATGGAAAACCTAAATTTCGTGTAGAGCAGACAATTCCTAGTCAGTTATCTGATAACTCTGCTACGAATGAAGACAAATATGCTACAGCAGACTCAGATAGTTCCTCCAAGTGTTTTTTAGAACAAATATCACGAAAAAATTCTCCTAAAGATATGGAAGCAACAGAAATTCAAGAGAAAAATACAGAAGCCCCATTCATGAGTGACTGGAATTTGAGTACCAGTGTTCTGCATCAGAGAGACAGTCCTGAATCTGACACTGGCAGTGCTACCACATCCTCTGATGACATAAAGCCCAGGTCTGAAGACTATGATGCTGGAGGGTCTCAGGATGATGATGGGTCAAATGACAGGGGTATTTCTAAATGTGGCACTATGCTATGCCATGATTTTCTTGGAAGAAGTAGCAGTGATACCAGTACTCCTGAAGAATTAAAAATATATGATAGTAACTTAAGAATTGAAGTGAAAATGAAAAAGCAAAGTAGTAATGATCCTTTCCAAGTTAATTCGACAAGTGATGATGAGATTCCTAGAAAAAGGCCAGAAATTTGGTCTCGATCTACAATAGTCCACCCTAGGGAAAAAGAAAATATTCTACGAGGCAGTGTCCAGTTTGCTCAGGAAGTAGATCAAGTTTCTTCCTCGGCAGATGAAACAGAAGATGAAAGATCTGAAGCTGAAAATGTTGCAGAAAATTTCTCTATGTTGAATTCAGCTCCTCAGCATTTTCAGGGGATAATTAACTTAGCTTTTGAAGATGCAGCTGAAAATGAAAGTCATGAGTTTTCTGCAAGTAAAAAATTTAAAAGGTCAGTTTTACTTTCAGTAGATGAATGTGAAGAACTGGGATCTGATGAAGGGGAAGTCCATACTCCCTTTCTACCTTCTATAGATTCTCTTTCACCTTCTGATGTTTTTGATGGCTTTTCTCATGAACATCCTAGAAGGCCCTGCTATTCCAGAAACTTACAGGGAAATGAAGGTAGTATTTTAGGATGTAAACAAGATAAAGGCAACAATGTATGTAAAAAGGAAAGCTTTCTCTTGGGTCTTAGTAGCATTGGCCCTTCAAGAAAAGATAAACAGAGTGCAGAATGTACAAAAAAATACACTATTGATGTCCTGCCCAAAGAAGGCAGGCAGCTTCTTATGGACAATAAAAAAGTAAACAATGGAAGCAATGTAGATAATGACTTTCAGCAACACAGCAGACTCTCAGATGGTGACATAAAATCTCAAGAAAGACCATGTCATTTGGACCTTCATCAAAGAGAACCCAATTCTGACATACCAAAGAACAGTTCTACAAAATCTCTGGACTCCTGTCGGAGTCAGCTTCTGCCTCAGGGAGGTCAAGTGAAAGAGAGCCATTCTACACCTACTGAAAAAGCTAATATTGCTTTATCTGCAGGTAATGTACAGAAATAGAAATGTTAAATCCATAAGAAAATTAGTTTACAGAATTTTAAAGGCGTATTTAGCCATGAATGTTATATTTTAGTTAGAATAATTATTTAAGCAACAGATTCAAATTTTAAATGAAAACTTAATTTTTATTAATATTAAAATTAGCTAGTTACTCTTTATTGTTCACTTAAAATCCTAGTGCAGAATCAATATCTAGTAAAAATTTTGGTTATTGATTAGAACTAACTTACTCATAAGAGATTTTACATAAAGGAATAAAGAGAAAAACTTAGTTTCCTATTATTTAGTTATTTATATCTAATTTAACAAAAATTCTTGACTATTAGAAATTTTATTATATATTAGATATGATTTATGAACTATGCTAGTATATATCTTAAGAGGTCTGTGCAATAACTATAGTAATACGTAACTAAAAACATTGAACTATTTTAACTAGATTAATTATTACAATTTATATACATTTTACAAAGATCAAAACTTTAAGGATCACTATAATTCTATTCTAAAATTTTCAAGTACAAAGATACATTTCCTTAAAAGAGATTATATTTAGAAGCAATGATAATATATGGAATAGACCAGGCTTACTTCATATGTATGGATGATTTTCTGTCTTAATTGTTTCGTGTTTGTCTTCCTTAGTATAGTAATTTAAAATATGCAATAGTCACTGACAGAGTAGCTATTGTATATCAGAACTAAGAAAAATCTTGATCAATAGCCCCTGTTCAGCAAGAATCACAAGAATAGGGAGCTCCTTAAACTTGTACTTTTTTGTTTGTCCTCGCTTGCTCCTCCTTTGCATGTGCAATATACAAATAAGGTTTTAGATAATACGTATTTATTCTCCTTTTGGAACTGACTTTCCCTAAAAGTCATCATCAAATAACTATGTCTTTTTTTCCTCTTTATGTTTTTATTGTAGTGAATTAGATATATGTGCATATTCTGTGCTTATGTTTAAATAATTTCTATTGTTTTCTGTATCACAAATTTTCGAATTATTGAAAATTATTGTTAGTTGCCAATTTTGATTTTGCTGCTAAACATTATTCTTGAGTTGTTTTTTTTAAGATAGAAAAAGAAATGCCTCAATAATCTTGTCAATTTGTATAAATGTTATTTTTTCCAATTCTGGGTTTTTTGGGGGGTTTTTTTGGTCTGTAACTGTTATGTTACAAAACTCTGAGGGTACCAACATGTGCAATTTTTACATTGTGTAGTATTATGAATTATTTCAGGAGACATAGATGATTGTGATACACTGGCACAAACCTACATGTATGACCATCGGCCTTCAAAAACCCTCTCTCCAATATATGAGATGGATGTAATAGAAGCATTTGAGCAGAAAATGGAATCAGAAACGCATGTCACAGACATGGATTTGGAAGATGATCAACACTTTGCAAAACAAGATTGGACATTATTAAAGCAACTGCTCTCTGAACAGGATTCAAACTTAAATATTACAAATTCTGTTCCTGAAGACTTAAATTTAGCACAGTATCTAATCAGTCAGACACTACTTTTAGCACGAGACAGCTCAAAACCTCAGGGTAAAGCACATGTTGACACTTTGAACAGATGGAGCGAACTAACCTCTCCACTTGATTCCTCCGCAAGCATCACCATGGCTAGTTTTTCCTCTGAAGATTGTTCACCCCAAGGGGAATGGACAATTCTGGAACTGGAAACTCAGCATTAAGAGTACTAACACTTCGGAAAATGTTGAACTATACCACCCTTTCTTTTTGGATATTTATGTTATATCCAAATGATAATTACATCAGCTAGAGATGCACTGCCCTTAATATTGAGGGAGTCTTTACAATTTATTAAAGTAAACATTGTTTGTTTATTAATATGATATCACATGTAGAAAATAAGTTTTTCTAAAATTTTTGAGCATGTTTTATTATTGGAAAAATTAGAAGACTATAAGGAAGCCCTTCCTTCAGTTTTCCTTTCCTAACTGATCATTTGTTCACTTATCATTCAAGAATTTAAAATGGGAATGCACAAGTAGATCTGTTCCTTTACTTTCTGCTCTGCATATGGTAACATAGTAATTTAACAATAAAAAATATATTGTGCTTGTGTCAGTTTATGTAGAGTTAACCAGTGAGTAACATTCAGACTTGGCTTGGTGAGTTGGTGTGGTTGAGGCTGGTGGCTGAATATAAAAAAAGGCCTTGAGGACATTACACTAAGTGAAATAAGTCGGACAGAGAAAGTCAAATACCGTATGATCTCACTTATATATGGAATCTAAAGAACAAAATAAATGAACAAACAAAACAGACTCATAGATAAGAGAACAGACTAATGGTTGCCAAAGGGGACAGGGGTTGGGGGCTGGGTGAAAAGGTGAAGGGATTGAGAAGTACAATTGGTGGTTACAGAATAGTCACAAGACTATTCCCTATGCTGTTAAGTGCAGCATAGGGAATATAGTCAATAATATTGTAATAACTATGTGTGGTGTCAGATGCGTACTAGATTCATCAGGGTGGTCGCTTTGTAAAGTATATGATTGTCTAACACCTATGCTGTGCACACCCGAAACTAACGTAAAATAAATGTCAACTGTAATTGAAAGATAAAATTTTTAAAATAATTTTTAAAAAGAAAGAAAAAAAATCTTCACTTTCCTAACAGTTCAGGCTTAGGAAATTGTGAAATGCCTCTCAAATTTCAATCATATTGTTACTAAAACAGAGAAATGGAATTCCTTTAACTCTAAATTTTGGGGATATATCCAGAGAAAGACATCTGCCCTTTTTCAAAAGAAGTGGGAAAGTTCTCCATCTGTTTTACCAATATAGACTCCCTTTACAGTTAGTTAGTTACTCCCATTTTACATTCCATGGTGGAGATATTTTGGAACTTCACCTGCAATAAATGCCTGCACTAAATATTAACTTGAAAATGGGTACATGAGGCATTCAAGTTACTGAGTTAAGCTGTGTATGCACACGTGTATGTTTGCTTTCTCCAGGTGTCTATATACTCTGCTTCCATAAGACATTGATCAAATTGCCTTTTAGTCTGTAATTTTGGTAGCATGGCAAAGATAATTTTTTTTTCCTAAAAATGCTACTGGGGAGTGAACACTTGGATACCTATTTGATATGGGTGGGCATGGCCCTTCTGATGATAACATTTAGTAGAATTAGCCTCTCTGAAAAGCTTTGATAATTTCTCTAAAATATGTCAGAAGTAAGGAAACTTTTTGGTTTAGAATTTCTTTTCTAAATATAAAAATCTTTTATATTTAGATAAATGAACAAATCTTCAAATGATTATCAATAGAGAGAATCTGTATATTGAATGTCAAAAATCATTTAAATGCACATCAGTTGTTATTCTTATAAAATTATGTAAACATTAGCTACTAACCTGTTACACCATAAATCTGTTACGCCTTTTTTAACAGGAAGGTTTGCAGTGGGCACTTGTTCATTCAAAGAGTCAAGAAACAGGCATTGGCCCTGATTGGTGTGTCAGTGGATCGAGTGCCAGCCTGCGAACCAAAGGGTTACTGGTTCAATTCCCAGTCAGGGCACATACCTGGATTACAGGCCAGGTCCCCAGTAGGGGGCACTCAAGAGGCAACCACACATTGATGTTTCTCTTCTTCTTTCCCTCCCTTTCTTCCCCTCTCCCTAAAATCTATAAGCAGGTCCTCAAGTAAAGATTAAAAAATAAATAAGAAAAATGTTAAAATATAGTATTGTAAGAACTTTGTATTTTAGAGCTAGATTTAGGCATTAGTCTAATCCTTTCAAATTCCAAAGGATGACTCTAAATCCCAAAGGACTTAAAAGGTTGCCCAAGATCCCACAGCTAACTTGTGGGCTAAATCCAGTATTTCTTATTTCAGTTTGATGGTATTTCTACCCCATAACATACAACATACTTCATTTGATTCTTATTATAAAACCTGAGAACAAATACATTTACAGATAGTTTATAGTATGAAGAATTAATAAATGATAATGTCAGAGACAGCATAAATTCCCAAGACATTGTATTTTCTTTTTCTCCAAATGTGAAATTTTGTTATTTTCTTTTTTTAAGTATATTTTACTTATTATGCTATTATAGTTGTCTCATTTTTTCTCCCCTTTATCCCCCTCTGCTTGGTATCCCCATTCCCTCCACCTTAGTTCATGTCCATGGGTTGTACATAAAAGTTCTTCGGCTTCTCCATTTCCTATACTATTTTTAATCTTCCCCTGTCTTATTTTGTGCCTACCAATTGTGTTTTTTATTCCCTGTTCCTTTCCCCCATACTCCCCCTCACCCCTCCCTGATGATAACCCTCCATGTGATCTCCATGTCTGCGATTCTGTTCCTTTTCTAGTTGTTTGCTTTGTGTGTTTTGGTTTTTTAGGTTCAGTTGTTGATAGTTTTGAGTTTGTTGTCATTTTACTGTTCATAGTTTTGATAATTTCCTTTAACATTTCATATAATTAGGGCTTGGTGATGATGAACTCCTTGAACTTGACCTTATCTGAGAAGCAGTTTATCTGCCTTTCCACTCTGAGTGATGGCTTTGCTGGATAGAGTAATCTTGAATGTAGGTACTTGCTTTTAATGACTTTGAATACTTCTTTCCAGCCCCTTCTTGCCTGCAAGGTTTCTTTTGACAAGTGAGCAGATAGTCTTATGAGAGCTCCTTTATAGGTAACTGTCTCCTTTTCTCTTGTTGCTTTTAAGAATCTCTCCTTATCTTTTATCTTTGGCACTTTAAGTATGATGTGTCTTGGTGTGGACCTCTTTGGGTCCAGCTTGTTTGGGACTCTGAGCTTCCTGCATTTGTATGCCTATTTCCTTTGCCAAATTGGGGTAGTTTTCTTTTATTACTTTTTCAAATAAGTTTTCCATTTTTTACTCTTCCTCTTCTTCTGGCACTCCTATGATTTGGATGTTGAAATGTTTAAAGTTGTCATGGAGGTTGCTAAGGCTCTTCTCATTTTTTTGAAATTTTGTTTCTTAATTGTGTTCTAGTTGAATGTTTATTTCTTTCTTCTGCTCCAAATCGTTGATATGAGTCCTGGTTTCCTTTCCTTCACTGTTGGTTCCCTGTATATTTTTCTTTATTTCACTTTTTGTAGCCTTCACTTCTTTTATTTTGTAGTCATACTCAATCATTTCTCTGAGCATCTTAATTACCAGCATTTTGAACTCTGCGTCTGATAGGTTGGCTCTCTCCTTATTGCTTAGTTCTATCTGTGGAACTTTGATCTGTTGCTTCATTTGGGCCATATTTCTTTATCTTGGCACACCTGTTACATTGTAAGGGGTGGAGGCTTAGGTATTTGCTGGGGTGGGGCAACCCACTTAGCTGCATTGTGGTACTGTATGTGCAGGAGGGGTCAGGGAGGGAACAATGCTGCTTGCTCAGCTCTCACCCTATTTCAGTCCCTTCCCCTCCTTCCCACACGTGAATTGCACCCTTCCAGGTGCTGCCCTGGTGCTGAATCTTGGGTAGGTTGGCTTGTGTACATTCTAGGACCCTGTGGGCTCCTCCAGTAGACTCGCCTGCAAGGCTGGCAATTTCTCTCACTGCCACAACCCCTACAGGTTTTTATAGCCAGAGGTTTCAATGTTTTCCTGGCACTGGAACCCTGGGTTGCTCAGTCTATCTTGCTCCTGATACCTGCAGGTTGCTCAGTCTATCTTGCTCCTGATACTTGCCCCAGTTTACCTGCACATGAATGTGGGACTGTCCAGTTTGCCAGCTGCTCCCTTGCCATGTATCCTCTCCACCCCTCCTACACATCTGGATGAAATTTTCTTCTTTAACGCCTTGATTAGCAGACTTCCATACAATTCTATTATCTGTCAGTTCTGGTTGGTTTTTATTTTTAAATTGGTTGTTATCCTTCTTTTAGTTTTGCAAGGAATAAAGTATATCTACCTACGTCTCCATCATGGCCAGAAGATTAAGTGTTATTTTCAATAAACTACCTCAGGAGTTCAGAAATTTATAATTGAAACTTTATCTCTTTCCCAGTGTCAAGGTCTTTAAAGCTTTTTAAAAACTACTATACATTAAAAAGCTATTCAATTTCATCTTGCATCTGCAAATAGACTATAGGGAAGGCATTTTAAGTAATGATCCCTTCAGTAATTTTAAGAACATGGGTGTTTTCTTACCATGCTCTCTTGTAAATGGTACATGAACCAGTTTGTTTGTTGTGGGACTCTTTGGGCTAGTTCTTCATCATTCAACAAATATATTGAAAAATAATTGCTAACATTTATTTAGCATTTATATGTTAGACACTGTACCAAGTGTTTTACATATGCATAAAATTTAATGCTCACAGCAGTTCTATGAGAATATCTTATTATTATCTTTATTTTATACATGAGAAAATTGTTGTAGTGTCCTTACCCTGGATGAGCAAACCCAGTGAAAGCAACTAAAAGAGAAATAACACGTTATACTATTATTTGGTAAGATAACAGCTATATATGGTAAGAATTGTGAGCGCTCAGACAGAGGAGCTATGAACAGCTTGTCAGAGATTACACAAAGCTTCTTAGAGCAAGTAATAGTGACTGCTTCAGAATTTCCATAAAGAGGCTTAGTGGCTGCAATCTATTTGGAAGCATAGGCTAGGAGACTTGTCCTGAAGATGCACTTGTGTAGAAAGTACTTTGCTTTTTACTTAGATTGCATTTTACAAGTCAATAAAAGTAGAAATGTTTTTATTTTTTTTAATTTATTGATTATGCCATTACAGTTGTTCTATTCCCTCCCTTCATTCCCCTCCACCCCTACAATTCCCCCCTTTAATTTATGACCATGTGTCTCAAGTTCTTGGGATTCTGTATTTCCCACACTACTCTTGCCCTCCCCCTGTCTATTTTCTACCTACCATCTATGCTTATTTTCTGTACCTTCTCCCCTCTTCTCCTCCCACTCCCCTGTTGATAATCCACCATGAGATCTTCATTTCTATGGTTCTGCTCCTGATCTAGCTGTCCTTTTAGCTTGCTTTTGTTTTAGATGTGGTTGTTAATAACTGTGTTTGCTGTCCTTTCACTGTTCATCTTTTTTATCTTCTTTTTCTTAGATAAGTCCCTTTAACATTTCATATAATAAGGGCTTGGTGATGATGAACTCCTTGAATTTGATCTTATCTGAGAAGCACTTTATCTGCCCTTCCATTCTAAATGAAAGTTTTGCTGGATAGAGCAATCTTGGTTGTAGGTCTTTGGATTTCATGACTTGGAGTACCTCTTTCCAGCCCCTTGCCTGTAAGGTCTCTAATAAAGGAGAATTTCCCCAATCTGGCAAAGGCAGTAGACT